CCCAACTCTGGGCAAGTAAAAAAAAAAAAAATGATCCTTTGCAGTGACCCCGTGCCCTGCAAGGGATATTTGCTCGATTATGTCTAGGGTAGGAAAAAAAATAGGTGATATACTTACCCGATCTTTCACTCCTCCCCACAGCTAGACTGGTCCCTGCAGCTTCTGTACCCCCGCCCTCCAGCGGTCTACAGTCCTGACGTCATCAAGACCAGAGTCCATTGTTCTGCAGTGGATGGGAGGACACTGAGGATTGGTCCACCACCAGATTGTGGGGGGGCAGAGGATCAGGTATGTATAATGGTTTCTCCCCTCCCCTAGACAAAAACAAGGAATTAACCCTTGCAGTGTGGGCACAGCTCTGTTGCAAGGGATAATATTTTTTTTTTTACTGCCCGGAGCTGGCCTTTAAAAGAGAAGCACGGCATTTGTTTCTTTTTAGAAAAAAATCATACTTGCCTAGGTGGATGATGCATTTGTCTCCTGCCTGTTCTAAGTTCCAGTTCTCACTGCCGCTCTGTGCAGAGAGCGGTGACTGTCAGTCACCACTGTCTGCTATGTCCTCCTCTGCGCTCACTGGAGCGCTGGGCTGTGGAGGGGGAGGGAACAACTGGCTTAAGCTGTCAGCGGATGGCAAAGAGGCTGAGCCAGGTGCTGCTCCAGACTCTGGGGTGGATCCCGACTTTAGCCCGGGTTCACACTAATGCGGTGCTGGAAACACTACAAGTCCTGTTCGTTTCCCGCACCACATTACAATCGCATGGCGTTCATGCAATCTAGTGCAAGTGTCGATGATTAATGACACCCCAAAACAGATCACAAAACACGATGCGATTGCCAGAAATTGCATCGCATGGGTGAGAACACTCATGCAGTGCGATTCAGGTGCGGTTAAAAAAGGGTCCTGCACCTTTTCGGTGCAGATGCGATGCGATTTGAGCCATACATACTGTGTGGCCTCAAATTGCACCCACAGACATTGCTTGTAATTCGCACAGGGATGTGGTGCGATTCCTGTACAAATTACATGCGGTGTCCTGCGCCACATTAGTTGTGGACCCAGTCCTAAAGTTGGGATCTTTCCCTAGCTTGGACTGGCTGAGTGACGTCAGGCGACAGCAGGCTTCAGCCCGCTATCAGCTGAGAATGGGTCACAGAAGTGCAGAACAACCCTTTAATCTCCTTTAATCATCAACCCTTCTTCAGCATATACTTACCCTTTCTTCACTTTCTCACTACTCCATTCAGTACTGGGAGTCAAAGGAAATACTTGGTGACAGCCCTGGGCCAATCAGCACTGTCACATGGAGAGCCCATAGCCTTGTGTAACCAGCCACTCAAAGCTTAGAAAGGACTTTCCCTTTAGTTCTGGCAGTGGGAGTTCATAGGAAACGTAGGTATATGCAGTCGGGGAGGACTACGTTAGAGATCCTGTTCCTTTGTCCTACATGGATGAAGCATACTTGGGTCACATGGTTATTTGTGTTTATACTGGGGGAAACCGACAACAACTCATCTCAGTGGAGACTGGAGCAATTGGATGATGCTTTATAACCTGTCTGGTCAATATTCTCCCAAGATCGCTCCGTGGTGTCTGCAGGCCGGCATAGACAGGGGATCGTCACTGGACTGGGCAACAGTCAGGACTATGAGATGTCTGTTGTATAAGGAAAGTGTCTGGAGAGTCACGTCCACTAAAGGAAATCTGAACTTTAAACTTCATGAGGGAGATAAATGCTACCTATCTGTGACCAGCTGTGTCACCTCTCTGAGAGTACTCCATATATAGGGGCTTATGCCTAGAAAGTGGATTAAAGCTGAACTCCCGAGGAAACAAAACTCCTCTCTTGCAGTGGGGCTTTGGAAAAAAACAAACACTTTTACTGACCCAGTCTCCTGTTTCCACAGGCTCCCTCCAGGCTTTAAGACTGGTACCTGCAACATCATCTCCCCTACATTCCAGTGGCTGCAGGTCCTCTAATGCCATAGAGTACAATGCAGGGACCATAGCCTTGCATTAGTTATAAATTCACCAGGGACAGCCAGCTGCAGGGGTAGCAGGGATCAAGTCAGAAGTGTTTTCTGATTCCATAGACATAAACAAGTATTTATCTATTGTATTGCGAGAGCATCCAGTGCAAGTGGGGATTTTTTGTTTTCCCTGGAGATGGATTTTGACCCAGCAAAGAAATTGAAACCACACAGGTTTATAGCATTTACACAGTGCTATCACTCATGAACCCCATTGCAGTCCTTCATATTGATGTAAATATTTTCAAGCCTCCATAGGGCTGAATAGTGCGTTACCATGTGTTGTGACTGCAGCAGATGTGCATTGGGGGGGCCATTAAGAATAGATGGCACTGTCACACACCAGCACATGCACTCTACACAACAGTGTGATTCCAGCTAGAATGCTTTGCTGGGGACATGTATAGACTGTCCTAAACCTTCCTAAGGCTTTATACAGACCCCCTGACACCTCCAAGCCATCCTAAACACTGCCAGCTATAATTCCTTCCTTCATGTTCCATGTTAGGTTATAATGTCATATCTTGTAGAGCTGGTCTTCGCAGAGCCTTTGAAGCTACCTGATATTTGATGGGCTGCTTGACATGGAGCCTGTCTGTAGTTCCTAGTTACTGCCTAATACTTAATGTTCATGTACACACAGGCTTTTAACAGAGTTTGGGAACTGCCATGTTTAGATGGGGTTAAACCTCCCTCTCCTGAACGCAGAAGAATCACGTTCAGGATAGGAATGTGTTGACCACCAGCCGCGGGAAAGGAAAAACACAGAAAAAAAAAAATTTAAATGCGGTACCATGTTTACACGCAATTTTGCTGCAGTCGGCTAGTGTACGTGCAGCCTTGCTCAGACTCACCTGTGAGTGTGCACAGAACAGTTTCACATGTTTTGCTGTGTCCCGAGGTGGGAGCACGTGTTGAGTAGCCCCATAGAGACCCTTTTAATGAATGAAGCCACCCCAAAATCAGACATCAGCGTTCATTCTCCAGAAGGGGAAATGACAGAGGCTGCAATATGAATGCACATAGCATGTGAGAGGAGAGATTTTTATTCTAGGATTGATTGCACATTGCTTGAGATGTCTTTTTGACATTTGTTTAAAAACATTATGGGGGGAATTTGCTAAAACTGAAAGACAAAATCTGGAGCAGCTGTCCATAGTAAGCAGTCAGCCTCAAACCTCCACTTGTTCAATTGCATTTTAAAAAGGGAAGCTGCTTCAGGTTCTGTTTGTTCCAGTGTAAGTGAATTCCCCTCTATATGTTATCTGAGTGAAAGGAGGCTTCTCCCTGTGATATGAGGGAGGGATGTGCCAATTCTACACTAATGTGGAGGGGAGACTTTTTTGGACTGGGGGTGGAGATGGCCATTCCTTAGGTATCACTGGAGAAGCATGCGGTGAATGGTGTGTGTGATGACAGCTTATATTTTCTGCTATCTACCAATTTCAGTTTATTCCATTAGTTTTTCCCACAGGTTCCTTGGAACATACTATGTTGTCTTCAGTTCTGTTATCTGCACAGTAAATGCCTCTAAGCTCTGCTTCTTCTGTTTCTTACTGACAGCAGCCTCTATTGTGATTTAAAGCAGACATGTAGGACAAACCTCTACTATTAATACATCCTGAATAAAGACAGATTAGCAAAGTATAGTTCATACTGCTCACTAGATGTAATGTGGCCACCTAGCTCCTTATGTTTGTAATATCTTGGTTGGGGCCAGGGGTGGACTAACCATTTGGGAACTCAGGCAGTGCCCGAGGGCGCTGGGTCAGTAGGGGGCCCCATGAGATGCCACTGGTACCTTTCATAGGCTTTTTTGGGTGTGATTTGAGTGTGGGTGAGGACACGGGCCCCATGATTCCCTATTGCCCGGGGGCCCCATGAGTTGTCAGTCCGCCCCTGGTTGGGGCTCAACAGATCCTAGCCGTCAGATCCCCTTTTGGCAATAATCAGCAAATAACTCTCACAGACCTGATAAAGGAGAAGTAAATAGGTGAGCGTCATTTAGTAACCAATTATGCAGAAGATACGAAGACAATTAACCAAAATCTGTCCCCAAGGGATACAATTATGTCACCAATGTCCTCTTTGCAGCACTATTTCAGGACTTTACTGAGCCCTGATCACCTCCAGAACTGCGTGGGGTTGTGTACAAGCAATGGAAAGCCTGAAATAGTCAGTATTGTGTTATCACATGGATATATCTGCATAGCTGGTGGCACATTCATGTTAAAGATGAACTCCAGGTATGTTAGTCTTTACATGGCTGCATTGGTCCAGAAGCTGGATATTACTGTATTAGGTATGGCTCCTACAGTAATCTCCATTCGCTTTCAAATCTCCTGCACTTCTTTCATTGTGAACAAAGGAAGCCGTTAGCTTGGTACAGGTGCCATTCAGGGAACGCTTTGCATTTTATTAATGATTGCAAAGCCTTTCTGTGATTGGATGAAGTGGAGAGGCGAGTGGTGACGTCACACTCCCCACCTCGCCTAGTCAGAGAACACTTCACATTCATTCTGAAAAGTGTTACTTAAATGGTGCCCATGCCAAGTGAGCAACCTTCTGTAAGCAGAGGTGTACTCGTCCGAGATGCAGAAGCTAGTGGCATTCACTGTAGTAGTGTTGTCTACTACAGCATTTTCCAGCTTCCAGCGGGGATCCCACAGATATAGAATTCAGCTTTAAAATATAAATAGGGGGGGGGGGGGGAGAGTTTAGAACTGTAACATGGGATTATTTTTTGTGTTGTCTTCTCAAGGATAGTGAGACAGTTTAAGGAGAAGGAGATGCAGTTAGTGTGATTGGTTGACAAGTACAGAAATGCTATTATTTCTCTCAAAATGATCCTGTATATGATGATACATACGGATTCTATTTTAACATTTAAATGACATTCTGTTTTCTGTCCCCAGGCTGCCGGCACAGATCAGATAAAGCAATCAGACGAGGTGTGACCTACATACGCCACCATGTACTGTTTACAGTGGCTGCTTCCTGTCCTTTTGATTCCAAAGCCACTGAATCCAGCGCTTTGGTTTAGTCACTCAGTGTTTATGGGCTTCTACTTACTGAGCTTCTTATTGGAAAGGAAACCATGCACCATCTGCGCCTTGGTCTTTCTGGGTGCCCTCTTCCTCATTTGCTACAGCTGCTGGGGCAACTGCTTCTTGTATCACTGCAGCGGCAGCCAGTTGCCAGACTCTGCCAATGACCCTGATGTGGTTGGCACCTAGAGGGAGTACACCGTGCCCCACTTCATGGATTGCTGCTTTTTGCCAAGGACGTGACCCAGCTTGCACAAGTTTAAGGATGAAACTGGTATAACAGGGACACCGTGTTTATTTAAGTAAAGAAGAAGACGGTTTGGTGCAACAGATACCCTCTTTCCCTGATACCATGCAGCTACAACTGGGCATAGACATTTCCATTCCCTGGCCTTGTGGTGCCAGAGGGCTTTTTATTTGTTTGTATTTGGGGGACTTTGCCCCTCCAACTATAGATTTTCTTCAAAACCATGCCTCCACATTCTGTCTGTTCCCTGTCATGGCTAATGGGCACATTTTCCTGTCACCTCAGACTAGGTCAAATGGTGTGCTGATCCTGAAATCTTTGGTATTAATGAGAGAGATGATTTGGTAATAAGATCTTTTCTTAGCATGGACAAATGTAGAAATCACTGCAGTATGTGCAATCAAGTGAACCTGTCTTGTACAAACAATAGATGGTATTTGTGGTCTGATCGAATATTCAGCCAATCACTGCATTTGCAACTAATTACATTGCTTAGGCATATTGGTTCAGACCACAGTGGTTGCTTTTGCCACGAATGGGCACAGATTCAATAGTTTTTTACTGCCAAGAAGACATGTTTGACTCTGAAGGCTCAACATTAAAGTGTCTTGCGGTTTGATCTTGTATGTTTTAGAAGGGACGTGTAGTCAAACAGACGGTGTGGACTGTAAAGTTCCCTGCCTCTGTTTCCAGAGATTTTATCCTTTGTGTTTGGAAGAAACAAATAAAGCTTTATCATTGGATTTGGAAAATGTGCCTTTTTTTTTTTTTGCAAAGGTTAAGTTTAAAGTCTAGGTAAGCATTTTCCTTTGGACACAGCAGATCATAGATCGCGGTAAAGGGCCAATCACAGTGGCTCTTTACCGTGTGATCAGCTGTGTTCAACCACAGCTGATCACAAGTAAACAGATGGCCAGTTATCAGCGTTTTCTTTTCCTCAGCACCAGGGGCAGACTGACAAGTCATGGGGCCCCCAGGCAATAGGGGATCATGAGACCCCTGGGCAATAGGGGATCATGAGGCCCCTGTGTCCTTGCCCAAACACAAAAAAGCCTATGAAAAAGGTACCAGGGGAATGTCATGGGGCCCCCTACTGACCTCAGGCAGTACCTGAGTTTCCAAATGGTCAGTCCACCCCTGCTCAGCACTGTCACAGCATGAGGAAAGGAGAGCCTATAACTGGAAATCTTGACAGCATTTTGTTTACACCGATCATCAGTGCAGCTTATTAATGCCCATAAGTGAAAATTGGCCATGGCAGGAAGGAGCTGAAAGTACTGAAGTGGTTAAAGATTAATTCCATCCATTGTATATTTTATATAGTTACATTACACCAATGTGACCAATCAGTCTCCTCTTCCAAGATACCAGCCGCCATAAATCAAAAAATTGCCATACTTGCTGTAATTTTCCTTTTCTGGGTGGCTCATGTCAGCCTAGGATTTGTAGGTTGACACGATTAGCCCCAGGAATGACCTGACCAATAGTGCAATCCTACTTTATTAAGCAATCCATAATGCAATGACATAGTGTGATAAAGTTTTATCCAGAGAGCAAAAAGAAAACTCCCTTGCGCTAGTGCAGTCCATGAAAGAAAAATGTGCATTCCAACTACTGGAAGTGATGTAGATAGGTCTCTTCCAATGCGTTTTGTCATTCCTACAGATGTCATCAGGAACAACATGAAGTATTGGTAGTTCAGGGGTAGAATTCTCACCTGACATATGCATGAGGCCCGGGTTCAATTCCTGGCCACTGCAGTTATGGTCTTTTTTTGTATTTATAGCCACACAGTTAACTGTACAGTGGGATGTGTCAAAGGACATATTTCTTGCCTGCTCCTGATTGTCCATAGGATTTATGAAATGCATTGGGCATGACCTATCTATGCCACCTCTGCTGTGTCTCCTTTTGATAGTTAGAATGCAGTGTTGTAAAGGAGTAGGTTCCTTTTATTTTCTAGCTGATCCTTTATCACACAACATAGGTGCACGGTTATTCCCTAGCGGGGAATCTGCCCAAGGTTTATATTAAAAAAAAAAGTGAATATAAATGTATTTAATAAGATAATTACAGTGTGTTAGCAAACTAAAAGACATGTTGTTAGAGTTTACATCTCTAAACTTTTTCATCTGGTTTTTTTTTGTTTTTTTTTTGGATAATGCAACCCTCGTTTCTATGAACCAATACTCTATACCAGGTCATGAAAATGCTCAATACTCAGATTCAAAGGGGGGGGGGGGGTATTGATAACACATCAGGAGGGTGAAACAGGACAGGTTCCTCACTGAGTAGACCTAAGCTGATGCCTTACTTTGTAATGCAGGAGGGGCAATTCTAAGCACACACGGTAGTCTACTTGCTGTCTCACATGGAGAAAGCCTTATATATTGGGCCTCTGTCTTGCGGCTGCATTAATTTACAGAGGATCTTGCTGGCAGCGCAATCCTGCATATAAGAAAAAAAAAGTATGCTGTACGCATGTAATGTTTGCACCAATGTTTACACATGTACAGTGTCAGTAGACCTATTATAAATAACAATGTATAGCCATTAGCCCAGCTGATTACACACTATTAATATTTACTTGTCAGCCCTGAATGAGGCATTCATGTGGAGGTGCGTGTGCAAAATAATCTCCGCTGCCTACACATTGCTGATATTTACATGTTGATCCCAAGCAGCAGCGACTAATAGGGTCCCTTAATATTTTACATCCTCATTTAATGTATTTACATTCACCAAGTCTCCATAGCTATAGCATATAGCTGATCCTCTTTCCTAATCATTTTGAACATCAAATCATGGGCAGGGAGTTTCCACATGCTTGGATTATTGAAGTGAATATTCACATTTTTTTTGAGTAACATTTCTCAATTCCATTAGCTAATTCACCTAAATATGTTAGGTTGACTTCAAGTGATTTCTGATCTCTTCAAGTTAGGGTCTGACTGAGGTGGCCAATTTGTGTGCAGTGTCGGGGGTTGTGATGGCGTGTATGGTTTCTGGGAAAATGTCCTCTGAGAAGCATAAGCGAGGTTGACATAGTCAACTGACCAAAAGGACATTTCACAGGATTGTGACCTGAAATAAGAAAACAACTGCTGCAAAAGTGACAGCAGAGCTCAATCTCAGTCCCGTGATCGGATAGCGTTTTTCCAGAGAATATATGTGCCGCCATGGCCTTTGATGCTGTACCTCGCAGCACAGCAGGTAGATTAGCAACTTCAGTCACAGAAGCACTGGATAAGCGGGCACCAACAATTTGCCCTTTTTGAAGCTCAGTAAGCTCTGACATGACTCCGTATTACAGCGCACTCAGTGAATGATGGAAATGAGGTTTTCCACCTGTCAGCTAGGTGTCTCATTACACAGCGGAAGCAAAAGAATATTACATCACTTTCAACGGGAAACATATCACTTTCACACCTGCAAATCATGTAGTGTTTCCATTTTCTGGTCTAACTCCTGTAAATATTTGGCTGCTTTGGCCAGTCACTGAGGGTTGTATTCCAGTGAGCTGAGTGGAAAAAAAAAATAGGGTCCTTTTAATGTTAGCACATTTTCTTGTTCATGTACAGCATACCTTTAAGCAGGATCTTGCTGCCACAAGAAGGGTTTATCTGCATAAAGCATACAATACAACCCAGGACCCAAGGTAAGTATTATACTGTCAAGAGCAACAGTGTGATTGGGCTCACAGCCTTCTATACTGCTGGGTACAAATTATTATTATACAGTATTTATATAGCACTGTACATTATAGTGGGAGACAGTACATGAGACTATACAGTAACAATACACGAGGGGTTCGAGGGCCCTGCTCCTTGGAGCTTACACTCAAATGCAAACAAAACTATACACTGCGTATTTGATGTCCTTGTGAATAGGATTTTAAAGTGTCATATCTTCAGACATCAGTTGCATTGACAGCTTTGCTGGAAGTCTCAATCTGATTAATAAAGAAAGGAAGTTACAAGCACAGAGCCACCCATCCTCCATGTGAGGAACTCTGTAAATCATGGCTGCAAAGTGTTACTCGGAATTTAGATTCAATTAAGACATTCATGGTAGCTGCAGTTGTTGACTTTTTAGCGTAAATGCTGGCTGCTTGAAATTTATCTTGGTAAAAAAAAACAGTGCTCAGTCAGATTCTTGCTGCTGGTATTCACACCATGGATAAATGCGGTTACCAATGCAGCCTTTACCACTTTAACTCTGAAAGGTTATACATCCTTTATGACCAGGCCATTTATTGCTATTTAGCAGTGTGCTAATTTAACTGGTAATTCCGTGGTCATGCAAAAACAAAATTATATTTTTTTTTCCACACAAATAGATCTTTCTTTTGGTGGTATTTGATCACCACTGTTTTATTTTTTGCAATATAAAAAAAAAAAAAAAAAGACCATTTTGAAAAAAAAAATCTATAATTTTTTTACTCGTGCAGACTCCACCTCCGCAACATCGCCAAAATCCGCACGTTCCTAACCCCAGAAACCACTAAACAGCTCATCCACTCCATCATATCACGACTCGACTACTGCAACTCCCTCCTCACTGGCCTGCCTCGCCGCTGTCTATCCCTGCTTCAGTCGATCCTGAATACGGCTGCCAGACTCATTCACCTTTCCAACCGCTCCGTTTCCGCCACCCCCCTCTGCCAGTCCCTCCACTGGCTTCCGATTGCGCAACGATTCAAAATTCAAATTCAAAATCCTAACGCTGACGTACAAAGCTGTCCACCATACTGCCCCGAACTACATCACTGACCTAATATCCAAGTACCGCCCAGCACGCACACTTCGCTCCTCACAAGACCTCCTTCTCTCTAGTTCCCTGGTCTCCTCCTCCCATGCCCGCCTCCAGGACTTCTCCAGGGTGTCACCCATCCTCTGGAACTCCCTGCCCCAACCCATCAGATTATCACCTACTCTCCTCT